ATAGGGTGCGTTTACTTCTGAGCTAATAGTGCTACTTCCGAACACCGGAAGTGACGTCATTAGCATGTGTATTCGTGCTTACATGTCCAGTTCGAAAGTAAACGCGAACGCTAACAAGAAATATGGCGGTTTCCTGCAAATAATATTGTCAAAGCTGCTATTTTAAATGTTACGTTATAGATATAACTACTTGATTCCGAATCGGACGAGGATGATTTTATTGTGATATAATTGTAGAAAAATGAAAAAAAGAGAAAAGAAAAGTAAGGTAAATTAAAAAAAATAGAAACTTTTATTGAAGAGAGACTACCTTTTTTACAAGCCAACCGATTTTAATTAAACAACCTTACTTGTTAGACTTACAAGAGAATGTTTTGAAATTCTCCTCTAAAAAATAAGCCCAATTATAGACACCGAAAAATTACTTCATCTGGAAGACGACCCGTGTCTGCTCAAAAACAGCTTTTATGTTGTCTGTGGACATTGGCAAATCAAGAATCATTCAGGTTTGTTTATACGAAGTAATATATGAAATTAGATGCAGTTTATAAGAGAATAGTAGATTATACACATATATAATACACATTTAAAACAATTGTTTTACCCAGTGAATGGATGTGACGTTGTTTTGTTGTGGTGTAACTAAACTGAGTTCAAAAGTAACAAATAATTGATATTAAATACAAACACTTTTTTCTTTCATTCTTTCCTCTAAGGGTATTGACGATCGTTTTAATATGTTTAGACGGACTGCGTGGAATATTTTAAATAAAGTTGTTAATTCTTTCTTACAAGTTAGTGTTAAATGAAAATGAAAAATGATCTCTTGGCCACACAGCAGGATGATGTAAGAATAATGGAATTTTTTTATACCCAATCTGGTTTTCCTGGAATTAGAGGCTCTATTGATGAACAACATATGGCTATTAGACATCAACTGAAGAAGCAGTAGCCTATTTCAATAGAAATAAGTATTACTCTGTCATCATATAAGTTTAGTTTGTAATGAAAAAATAGTATTCAAATGATACAATTTCTTGAGAAGTCATTTCCCATATGTAAGTGAAAATTCATTCAAGTATACAAACTTATGTAATTTTGGATTATTATTAATGCTGTTCATTTCTTTACGATTTATTTAATGTTCTGAACATAACATTTCTGAAGATTCCAAATGCGTATTAGGTAAACCTCACTTTTAATCATAAACAATGAATCGAACTTAATTTTTTTCACATTAATTAACCCTGTTTATGAAAAAAGTCATCTGAAGCTATTGAACCTTACAATGAAAAAACGGTCATTGTAAACATTTTAAACAAGAAATAATTGAAATTTACCAATAAAAATACTTTCTGCCGTTTATTTTTCGAAAACTAATTCCATTTTTAGTACTTTGTACAGAAAGTAATTTTTTNAGCGCTGACTCAACACACTCAGCACTCAACAGATATGTTGACTGCTACTTTCCAATGAATTGTGGGTAATTGGTAAGACATTTGAATGGAATCCATCTTGCTGAGAATGGAATTATGGAAACTAAGCACTTCATACTCGAGTTGGAACGTCGTTGATGACGTCAAATTGTTGACTTTAACACTCAACACTCGCGTTGAAAATT